TTATTTATTTTTTTTTTATATTAAATAATATTTATATATTATTAATTAATGTTAAATAATATAACATTGGTATATCAGTATATATACATATATGACTAATCGTAGAAATATTCGGTTGATACGATAGACTACAATGACGTTGAACTAATCATCGATTAAACAACTTTTTTTCAACGATAATCTTCTCGATTAGGTTTCCATGTAATAATATTGTTAAACGATCAGGGTGAGTAGGAGTGACAGGAGAAGGGGGATTTGTGTCTCGGGAATGAATTTAAGAATTAAAAATAAATCAAAATAAGATATTTATCGTTAACCCAGTTAAAGATTTGGAATTAATGATGGATTGAGATTTTATTTTTACCTGCCATTCCGATTACAGGTATCATCTCTTGGATACCGTCCCTGCATTCTTGGATCCCGATGATGTTGAGGAGAAGATGAAGGATTTTGCAAAGAAGGTGACGGACTGGTTGCTACAATACTCGATGTTTCGGAATCGTAACCACTCGAACCATGAGTCCAAAGTGGTTCAGGGCAATCGTAAAGGTGATTGGGTGGTGGTCGTTGAACGATCAAATCCAGGACAGCTGATCCTCTCATCACTTCTATTGCTCTTTCAAAAGGTAAATCTGTCAGTCTTTGTCCGTTGCACCAAATGATTACATCACCAGCTTTCAAACCAGCTGCTCGTGCTGGTCCACCTTCCCTTGTACCCTGTTTACGTTATTTAATTCGATCAATTTTTTATCATTGTTTATTTATTTAAATTAATGTTAAATAATATAACATTGGTATATCAGTATATTAACACGTTCGCGAACAATCAATGTTTTAACGAGGAAGAAAAAAATAAGTAACAGTAATTAAATTGTTATATACAAAATTTGATTAAACACATTTTATAATTAATCATATATTAAAGATTAATTATATATTATATTAATATATTATTATATATTAGATTAATCATATATTAAAGGTATAATAATTATAAAAACTTAAGATTGTATATCAAATAAAATTCAAAATAATTGTCTTTCAAATTTTAGAATGCTATAGCATTCATATTTGCGAATGTGTTAAATGATTTGTCAGTGTTATATTTTCTTATCTTATATTATGTAATATTTAAAAAGAGTAACATGAAATATTTTGATACATTTTTTCTACCCACCCCCTCTCCATGTAGTATAATAACTTTGTATAGGTATATATATGTGTATGCATATTAGCACAAGTTTTGAAAACAGTTAGGTATTATTATGTGCATAGGTTCATCCAACCTGAACGGTGAGGCCAGGTACGATGCCTCTGCAAACACCACAGCCAAGTCGACCTTTCTCACCAACGCGTATTCGGATCCTAACTTCGCTATTTGGAACGGCTCCCACACCAGTCTCGTTGTATTGCAGCTGTTGTTGCTGTTGTTGCACCATGTGCCAGGTAACCGGATCGGTTGGATTGCTTTAAACGAATCGTAAATGACTTTTTTTTAGAACTAAGGAATCATCGTGGGGGGAGGGGAGGATTTAATAGACTCCTCGTGTAACTTTGAATTAATAATTTTGATTGACTTACTCTTTCACTGGTATCATTCCTACGCCTGTAACAAAGAAAAACAAAAAAAGAAACAATAGTAATAATTATTTATTTCTACCCCTTAAAAAAACAAAGTCAAGAAATTTCCTTACAAGCTCTAGTTAT